TAAACGGAATCGCTCCACGCTAACCACAACCGCCAAGATTTCCAAATCGTAACTATGGTCCTTCGATTCACTTGGACTCGTTTTTCTACTAAAGTACCCTAATGGCTTCCAACCTCCATCTTGCTTGATGAGCAAATCTCCAGCCAATCCGATGCTCGATGCATCCGTATGAAGCTCCAGGTCTGCTGTTGGATCATACAAAGCTAGTATTGGGCGTGTAGTCAGGATTTCCTTGAGGTTCTCGAATGCTTCCTGTTGCTCACCTCCCCACTTGAACTCAACGTCTTTCTTCAGAAGATTATACAACGGTGATGCTATCAAACTGAAGTTTTTCACGAAACGACGAAAAAATCCTGCGAGTCCCAGAAATTGTCGAACTTCGTGCACAGTTCTTGGCCGAGCAAGTTGTTTAACAGCCACCGTTTTCACTACTCCAGGTTTAATTCCTTCGCCGGTAACTTCAAACCCAAGGAATGTCACTTTTCACATGTAGAAATAGCTCTTCTTCAAGTTTATGGTGAACCCTTCTTCGCGCACAACATCTAACAGGGTAATGAATTTAGAGAGCACTTCTTCTTCCACTCTTCCCGCTTACGAGACGACATAAGGTTGTGGTAGTATACCGGGTTCTTCTTGGTCGGAAAACCTTTCACAATCTCCGACTTGAATGTTGGCCAATCGTTCACGCTGTTCTGGCAACCTTCGAACCAAAGCTTTGCGCATCCACCCAGATTCAATCGAGCACAATGCAATCTCACTTTATCCGTCCACTCATAACTGTTTCCCGTATCATCGATTGACTTCACCCATGCTTCGGCAGACATGCACGTCGGAGATTTGGGATCAAATTCCGACACATACTCTCGTAGCTCCCGAATATCCGGCAATCGATTTACAATTGCTGCAGATTGCCCCTCTGCACCGCTGGTGCGCTGTAACAGTTCAATCTGCAACCTTAAAGCTTCAATTTGGGTTTTTAACTCGTTCTCCATCTTGATCTTTTGCACTTTCACTTTGGTTTTTCGGTCAGTCACTTTATCCCCCAGCTGCTCGTCAGAATCTTCGGAGGGTTCCGAGTCGGAATTGAGCATACCCAAAATTCAGTACTACTACTCGGTTCGTTCTCCGGCGGTAGAACTACCTACGCACGCCCGTGGCAGACAATCGACTCAAAAACTCTCCGACGGTAGAGCTTTCTACCTACGCTTTCGACTCGATAGATTCCCCGGCGATGGAAAATATCTACATACTCCGATGCTACTCAGAACAATCCCCGACAATGGATATGTCCTACACACGACAGAGAACTCCCCGCAAAGAAATTTCTCCCGAAACCGCACCACGTGACCGAACTGCATTCTAATACGCGCGATATGCTGAACTCGTACTGTGTTTTTTTTTTTTTTTTTTTTCAATTACCTCAGAAACCCCGATTCTCTTCGAAGAGCTTTTAGTCTTCACCGTACTACACTGTCCATACAAAAGTTGATCGATCGACCACGCAGTACAATATAGCACTATGGACGAAGGTCAATAACACGGTCAATCTTTTGTCTGGCGATATTCACCGCGTGGCAATTACTAGATCACTCAATCGTACCGGATAGATCGCTTTCGTCTGGCAAATTTTATCCAGACTAATTATCGCACACCCTTCTTTTTATCTTCTCTGTGGATCTGAGATTCAGATCCTGTCTACAGCTTGTAAGAGTTGAGTTTTACCTCGTATTTCTGAGCTGGATCAATTTCGGGTCACGGACAATAAAAACGCGTGTACATCTACTGTAAGCTAATTTCAGACTAATTTATTTAATTCACTCAAAAGAACACCATACCAATACACCCACAGTGGATTAAATAAATAAGTCTGAAATTAGCTTACAGTAGATGTACACGCGTTTTTATTGTCCGTGACCCGAAATTGACCCAGCTCAGAAATACGAGGTAAAACTCAACTCTTACACCAGTTAAGGTACCGATGAGCACTATCGAGAAACTTTCCAAGGATGCGAGCCCGAAGGATGATGAGACATCAGCTGCTTTGATATGCTTCTCCTGATACGGATCAGGAAGCTGTCGGGTGTCTTATGTATTTGGCGCAAAGCACTCGACCGGACATACTGTTCGCCGTGAATACCCTCAGCCGGTTCAACAATAATCCAGTTATCAAGCACTGGAATGCGGTGAAGCATGTTCTGCGTTACTTACGTGGAACTTCAAACTTGAAGTTGGTCTACAACAGGCATGCCGATTCAAGCATAGTCGGCTACTGCGACGCGGATTGGGGATCCAATCCGGACGAACGTGAGTCAAACCATTGCAGAGGATAAAGTTTGAAGAAAGCCGTACGATGATGGGAATATCTGCGGCTTGAGGAGGAGTGTTGAAGCGAAGCTGTTAGTAATCGAAGCAAGCCTTGACATTTATACTTAATTATAAACGTCTTAAATAAAATTAGTTCTTATCTAACCACAACCAAAGACAGACAGACAGACCACTACTCTCTACAATAACTCCAAGGACACTGTAGCCTGGTATAAAGCCAACCAGGTCCAATTCGTACCCAAGGAGAAAAATCCGGCAAACTGTCCCCAGGCCAGACCAATCGAAACTTTTTGGGCCCTGACTAAAGCATATTTGCGGAAACATGTAAAAAGTACCCAAATTTTTTGGAAAGGAATCTGCGCTGAAGCTAATGAGAAGCGTGAGATCAAAAATTCGCTCCTCGACTTACAACTGATCGGATCTTGGATTTTCTACGTTAAACTGTAAGAGAATACCATAGCGAATATGATTACGAAATTTAAATCGAATTTGCTGTACACAGAGTTACGTTATCTTTTTTTTTATCGTGCTTAGACATTCGGAGACACCCTATAATCCCTCAAAATTTCATTCGCTCATACTAAGGCCTGTACTCGAAAAAAAAAATGCACCAAGCAATAAAAAGTGGCCAAAAATTTAGTTTCAGTCGGATTTTCTTGAAACTTTCAGGGAATAAACTAATAGATATGGATTATGTTTCGGCATAATTACTTTATTCAATTTCTTTTCCATCGCTGAAAGCCCTCACTTTTCCCTTAATATCCCTCATTACATTTTGTGCAATGCTGGAGCCGACCTTTTTGGTCACTTTCATTCATTTTTTCTTCAACTCCAGCTCGCTCTTAAACACCTTGGACGATTTTCGAACTTTGGCTTTCATTATGGCCCAAAATCTTTCCACCGGACGAATCTCTGGTGAATTTGGGGGGTTGGCGGTTTATGGTACAAAAACAACGTTATTGTCTCTGTACCAATCCAACGTCGATCGCGCGCCAAGTCCGGCCAAAATTATGTCGCGCCTCCGTGGGACCGCAGGAAGGACAACAGACGCTTCTGGAGGCACTCGGTACGGTAAATTTCGCTGTTGATGGTACCCATTGTGATGTACGGTTTACTCAGTTTACCGCATTGGCATATGCCAGAGCAAGTATTTTTTAGCAAATATGTCCACTTTCTTCTTCCTTATGTCTTCCGGAACATCAAACCGTGATTTGGCAACGTAGAACTCCAGCACCGGTATCTGCTTTGCATCTGCCTTGATGTAGGTTTCATCATTCACAACCACACACATCAGTTTCGTTAACCACTCTCGATACAGCTTCCTTGCGCGGGATTTGGTCACCGTGTTTTGCTGATCACGCCGGTTCGGTGCCTTCCGGACCTTGCATACACGAAGCCCAGCTCGTTTCACGGTTTGCTGAACGAACCAGGCGGAACACTTTGCCTTCAGAGCCGCGTCGCGAATCGATGGGTATTTTTGGAATCGGAGTGACGTCAAGGGACCGAAAATCGATGTCTGACCCCATTTTGAAATCCAAGATGGCGACTTCCGGTTACAGAAAAACTTGGAAATTCTGCCAAATACCCCACAATATGGGTATTTTTGGAATCAGGGTGACGTGTAGGGACCAGAAATCTATATCTGACGCCATTTTGAAATCCAATATGGCGACTTCCGGTTACATAAAACTTGGAAATTCTGCCAAATACCCCACAATATGGGTATTTTTGAAATCAGAGTAACGTTTAGGGACCGGAAATTGATGTCTGACGCCATTTTGAAATCCAAGATGGTGGCTTCCGGTTACAGAAAAACTTTGAAAATCTGTCATATACCCTACAATATGAAAATTTTTGGAATTGGAGTGACTTGTAAGAACCGGACATTTTTTCTGTAACCGTAAGTCGCCATCTTGGATTTCTTAATGGTGTCAGACATCGATATCTGGTCCCTACACGTCACTCCGTTTCCAAAAATACACATATTGTGGGGTATATGATAGAATTTCCAAGTTTTTATGTAACCGGAAGCCACCATCTTGGATTTCAATATGGCTTCAAATATTGATTTCTGGTCCCTGCACATCACCCTGATTCCAAAAATACCCATATTGTGGGGGTATTTGGCAGAATTTCCAAGTTTTTCTGAAACCGGAAGTCGCCATCTTGGATTTCAAAATTGCGTCAGACATCGATTTCCGGTCCTTACACGTCACCCTGATTCCAAAAATACCCATATTGTGGGGTATTCTACAATATTTTCAAACACCTCTTTTTACGAAGTAAATCCCAAATAACGAGTTTTCTTTTTACGAAGTAAATCCCAAATAACGAGGTTTTTTTTTACGCACTAATTCGATTTACGAACCCCCGTTTTGGTTCGTAAATGGAGGTTCCAGTGTATACCTTCAGCGCTCTGTAAACAACTAAAATGAATGAAACCAGATCCCATGAATCACGCTCTCTTCGACGCTCACCGCAGTACAGCGCCAATAAATCTACTCGTAGCGCACCGTCATCATGATGGAACCCTTCAACAAGTCTCTATATCTCTGGCTCATCGCCACGGCAAATAAGAGCAGCTCTCCCCCCGTATCTGCCATTATCGCATGCCGTGTTAAACCTGCTATCATCTCCGCGTGAGATAGCAACACGCAGTACATAAATACATGTCAACGATCATCCAGACAGAGCGCCAGTCTTGTGATAGCTTTCAAACTGTTTGTGTCGCACCCGTCGGTGGTGACATCCGAATTCGTTCGTTAATTCTGTACATCCGGTCAATCAAGTGACAAATAAATCATGATGGAACCTTTGGACGCGATCATCACCGTGGTGATGATCTGCCTGGCGGTGTACCTGTATTTGCAAAAGAAGCATTCATACTGGGCTAATCGGGGCGTTCCGTTTGTCAAGCCGGAGTTCTTCTATGGCAACGTCAAGACCATGTCCCGGACGGAGCAGATTGGGAAGGTTTTCCAGCGGGGCTACAACGAGCTGAAGGGACAAAATCCACTCGGTGGGATGTACATGTTCACAACGCCAATTGCCGTTGTGACGGACATGGAGTTGCTGAAGTGTATCTTCGTAAAGGATTTCCAGTACTTCCACGATCGAGGGACTTTCTTCAATGAGAAAAGTGATCCACTTTCGGCACACTTGTTCAATCTGGAGGGGAACAAGTGGAAGGTGCTGAGGAATAAGCTATCGCCAACGTTTACCTCCGGGAAGATGAAGATGATGTTTCCGACGATCGTGGCAGCTGGGAAGCAGTTTCACGATTTTATGGCCGAGAGGGTCCTACAGGAGAGTGAGTTTGAGCTGAAGGATCTGCTGGCACGGTACACGACGGATGTGATTGGCATGTGTGCCTTCGGGATCGAGTGCAATTCGATGAAGGACCCTGATGCACAGTTCCGCGTGATGGGTAGGAGGATCTTCAAAAACCCCAGAGGCAAAGTGCGGTCGTTCCTGATGACTTCGATGCCATCGGTTGCAAAGAAGTTGGGATTGAAGATTTTGCCAGAAGAGGTATCGGATTTCTTTTTTGGAGTTGTGAGAGAAACGATCGATTACCGGTTGAAGAACGGTGTGCGTAGGAATGACTTTATGGATTTGCTGATTCAGATGAGGAACCCGGACGAGAGTAAGAGCAGTGAGGGATTGTTGTCGTTCAATGAGATTGCTGCGCAAGCTTTCATTTTCTTTTTGGCTGGGTTTGAGACCAGTTCGACGTTGCTAACGTGGACGCTCTACGAGCTGGCTGTGAATCAGGATATTCAGGAAAAGGGGCGGCAGCACGTGAAGGACATTTTGGCAAAGCACAACGGTCAGATGACGTATGAATCCGTTAGCGATATGAATTACCTGGATCAGATTCTGAATGGTGAGTTAGGTGAATTTAGGAATCAAGCATTGAGCGAAATGACACAATTCTTATAATTTCAGAGGCCCTCCGTAAGTACCCACCAGTTCCGGTGCACTTCCGTATAACAGCGAAGGATTATACTGTACCCAACACCAATACAGTCGTCGAAGCTGGTACTCGCCTGTTTGTGCCAGTTTATGCTATTCATCATGATCCACAATTGTTCCCCGAACCGGAACGCTTCGATCCGGAGCGGTTCAGCCCAGAGGAAGAGGCCAAGAGGCATCCGTACGCGTGGACTCCGTTTGGAGAAGGGCCCAGAATTTGCATTGGGCTACGATTCGGAATGATGCAGGCCCGAATTGGGTTGGCCTATTTGTTGAACAGTTTTCGATTTTCGATCGGTGAGAAATGTCAAGTACCGTTGGAGTTAGATGTGAAGAGTTTTATTCTAGCGCCGAAAGGTGGACTGTGGTTGAAGGTGGATAAATTATAAACTTAGGTATTTGTAGAATGTTAATATAACTATTTATTTGTCTCAGGAGTACCAATAAATTATTCAAGCCAACAGTCTTTGTATGCCGACGCGTCGCTGTCACGGCCATGAACAAAATGACTGATGGCTCGTTATCGTTATCGAAAAACATCAAGCGCTTATCTGTTCGCTGTTCTATGTTTTACAACCGTCCTACCTTCCCAAAACAAGCCAAGTTTTAAAGTTCGATTTGTCTCAGAATGAGCCGCTTCATACTGGAAAAAGTTACTGAAAGCTTAACCCAACGATTACGCCAACAGTTGGTAGCGAGCCAACTGTGTCAAAGCAATTGCCATCTATTGCCTTACACTCTTCCCCATCCCAGGGCGTTCTACCGAAGATTGTGTTATGGTGGGAAAATTACGATAGGAGGCATTTCATACCTACCTTTCCGGGCTTCATTTCCTCATGTTCGACCAAAAAATCTCTGTTCATTCTCCTATAGAGCATTTCCAGCTCAAAACGGAAAAAAAAAAAATAAAACCACTTTTGCCCCGCCCCTTCAGATTTGAATGAAACTTTGAATATATATTGATGCTACCCAAGATGACATTTTCCGGTAAAAAGATGTTAATTTTTTCGGAATACGCTTTCATATGAGCTTATGTAAACAATAGGTTCTACTTTTTCAAACAGTCAAATGTTGAAAACGGTATATTTCATAAAATTGGCGTCCGAGAAAAAGTTATAAGCAATAGTATTTTCTATCCGAAAAAATATACAATGAGAAAAAAATTACTGTCTAATCTTATTTAAATTTTTGATCGTGAATTTTTACAAAAGACCTTCGATTTATTTATTTTTTTTTTGTTAAGAAAATTTATGTTATCTGGTCTTTTTTTATCTTAAATGATTATTTATTATTTGATAAACATTTTTTTTTCCAAATTATGAAACATTTTAATTTTTTTTATTTTTTAGTAAATTTATGTCAAAAATGGATTCGGCGCATCATTATTAATTAAATAATGCCATTGAACATTTTTCCAAAATTCATCTGATCTCAAGTTATTGCGAATTTTAAAAATTGAAAATTATGTACAGTACTCGTTCGATTTTGGCAACAAACCAAAAAACCGTTCATTTTGGCATGGTGCCAATTTTGAAAATAATGTAATTTTGTGATAACAAATTTTGAATAAAAGCTTGATTTTTAATAACGTCTACGAACAAGATGACTCACGGTTGTCCAAATTCCACGGAATGATAACTTAAATTTTGATCAATTTTGGCCTACACACTTAGAAATTTTTACAGAAATCTGTAAAATTTTATCGAAATCTCGACAGCTGAACGTTTGGTAAACAGTTTCACAGTTTTCCTGCATTTTTTTTTACAGATATCTGTGGAAAAAATCACAGATATTTGTAAAAAAATTACAGGAAATCTGTGAAACTGTTTACCGAACGTTCAGCTGTTGAGATTTCGGTAAAATTTTACAAATTTCTGTAAAAATTTCTTAGTGTGTATTCCGCCCAGTTGTCCCATTCGTTAAAACAGCAAACTGATAAAAATACTGTAGTAGATTTTTCACTATGGGCTCTTATGGATGGAACAACTTAGTTTTGGTATTTTTTTTGCGACATTTTCAGATCAAAGCAAGAAACTTATCGAGCCCATTGTAAATACTAATGAGACTGTTATGCCGCACAGGGCAGTATTTTGGCGACACTAAATTGTCGGGCTGTTTACAAAATTCGAACGGGTACAGAATTTCTATTATTTTAGACCTTATCGAATGTTAGTCTTGATTTCCAGGAGACTGTCCGAATCACCAAGTTGATATTGTCCAATATACCCAAGAAGAATTTCACACCAATTCGACCAGTGGTTGGCAGTACCCTGTCAGATTCCAAATGACACTAATTTTGTGCTAATATTTAAGTATTTTTGAATTGTTTTCCAGAAACAAAATCAGAACAACTTTTTGAAAAGGTCTAATTTTCAAGCTCTCCGACATCTTGAAAATGTTGTGATATATAATCTGGTGAAATTTTAAAAGATTTGGGCAAAGGAGGGGCTAATCAGAGGCCAAATATAATTTTTTTCCTCTTAAAAGGGTGACGGAACAATTTTTGGTTGTATCTGCTTGAGTTTTATAAAAAGCATAGTTACCCGGGTACCCACGTTGTTTTGTAAATCAATAGTTGTGATAAGAACTGATGATGGTTTAAAGAAACTTCTAGATGAACCATCCATTATCTCCAGAATAGGTTCCGGAAACCCCGGAGGAAGTGAGCTTAAATTAGATTTTAGAAGTCCCGGAAGTGGTGCCTAGTTTCTAAGACTTACAGAAAACTATATAGTCGTGGGGCGTTTCAAATTTTCAGAAATTTGTAGATAATTCATTAGACACCCTACCAATTGAGCAGAGAGACTATGGCCTCCCCCGTATCCCTGGACTAGGTTCCAGATGCCCTGAAGGAGCTGTGTCCACTCTCTGATTTCAACAAAAACTAGTCGTTAGTGACCATGTCAATTGAGTAGTGTGACAATGGCCTCCCAATGGCTCTGGAATACGTTCCGGAATATCAAAATATTCTAAATTGTATGGTGTTGGAAAATGAACTGGATTTACAGAAAGAGTGCACAGTGGGCAAAAATTGACATAACCGCCACTAACTTGAATATCTCGGCGGCCGAATGGTTTCAGTCAATATGTTATACATATTCTCAATTTAAAAACTCTGCTGTACCGAGATAGAGGGCCGGGATCAACCCGAGTTCCCGGTAAAGTAGGAAATGCCACTATCGATCGACATAATTTTACACTTTACTTAACGTATATTACTGGAAATTAATAGTACTAAGTATATATGGTGTAAATACACCATATAGGCCCTCAGGGAAACTCTACTGGCCTAAAGGAGGATCCGAAACGACCGATGAAGTGACCATATTATAAAAAATGTCCTAGAACCTTGTGATTTTGTATACGTTGTTCAGAAGTAAGAGATCAAAGCGTATTTAATATGGAATACATATTTTGGAATATAGTGGCCATATTTTGGTTCTCCGGATAATCTGGATTGACGGATAAACTGGCCACGTTATAAAAATGATCCTAGATCAAAGCGAATTTAATAAAGAATTTCAATTTTGGTGTAAAGTGGTCATATCCTGGTTCTCCGGAAAATCTGAATAGACCGATAAAGTGGCCAAATTATAAAAATTGTCCTAGAACCATGCGATTGCTTCTATGTTTGTTCAGAATCATGAGATCAAAGCGAATTTAATAAAAAAAATTCAATTTTAGTGTAAAGTGGCCATATCCTTGTTCTCCAGAAAATCTGGATTGACCGATCAGGTGGCCAATGGCATTATCATGGTTCGATCCGAAGCTATCGTATCTAACATACCACAATGAAAGTTCGAAAGTAGCATTTGGTAGTTAGGATGTGAAATACATGGAGGAAGTGACACAGTATTATATGGATAGCGGTGTAGAAGACGAAGGGGAAATGAATGGCGAGCAAGATTGTGACGACATGGAATACGACAGCACGAGTTTGTGTGATTCTGATATTTACAATGACGAAGAAGACAAGGAGTGAATACCATTTTATTAGAGGCCCAGATGAGCCCAGATAAGTCTTTTAATACAACGGCGCCGGTGGTGTAGTGGTAAGCGTGATTGCCTCTAACCCCAGCAGGCCTGGGTTCAATCCCAGTCGGCTCCGCCGGGATATTCTGAAGCATAACATCTCTGATCACGCCTTCCTTCGGATGGGAAGTAAAGCCGTTGGTCCCCGGTTCATGAGTAGATGGGTCGATAAGTAGGGTCCAGGTGCGGGAGCTGCCTTCCTGGCACGTCGGTAGCATTGGTGCTCAGCACGGAAAACAAGATCGACGGAAAAAACAAACCAAAGGAAAAAAAAAGTCTTTTAATTTTAAACGTATCACAATACCTAAATTGAATTTTTTTTCCCAACTTGTGCGGTAGACAAATGCTGTCCAGTTTAGATTATACGACCTACTTTATCTGTTTACCCGGATTATAGAGCTTTCTCTTGAAACTGGGTTAAATATTGTTTACGCTTTTTCTTTAATGGAGGAATTTATTTACTTTATTTTGCTGTGAATCAAAATCAATCGAAATTAAATTACAAGCACACCACCAAATTACTTATCCTGCGCCAGAACCTGGAATCGAACTCGAGACGACTACATTGGCAATCCTTGACACTTCCAACTGAGCTACGCCAACACTTTGAACTAACGTAAACAAACCTACATGCGCTTCTACAACCAAATCGCTGAGTAGAGGCTTTATAAAACTGCACACGTCTAAAAATAAACCTAGCTGACTGTAAAAATGCTTCCAAAGTAGCGTTAACACAGTTTATTAGCTGAGTACACGTTGTTTTGTTGTTGAAAAAGCACTTTTGATATTTATGTTCTTCAGCAAGAGTGGTTGATTGTGTAGAAGCCTTCAAATGAGTGACATATTCACTTTGTTTTGCAGCTACAAATTGAAAGTTGATTAGAATGTGTATAAAAGTGACATTAGCGTTTATTGGCTGCTGTTATTCAGTGCGACTGGCAAATTGAATAATGGTTGTGAAAAAGTTGAGTAAGCGCTCTCCAAAACTATATTGCTAGCTTCTGCTTGTAGCTGTATCTGCAGCTTTGTTTCAGCTACATTACCGCACAACACTGGAAAAGTTGGCTTATAAAGCTGAAAATGTTAGTTGGGTAGTATGTGACGGGGGATCGAGGGATGGCTTTCAGAAATTGTGACCGGCCATGTATTAGGTATAGCACGTATACGATACGAGGGGAGAAACTGGGCTTAAAATTGTTCAAAATATGCCACATCATTCATGGATATTCCATTAAGCCAATACCGTTAATAAGCCTTCAACAAATTCTACGATTTATGTAAGTTGGCACAGTTTAAGGTATTACAATACAGCGTCCTCAAATCATTGGAAAGATGCTGACTAATGTGATTTCAGACATGGAATTTGTTTCCCCATATTTGCTACGTCACGGAAGTAGATTATACTGTAGAAAATCGGAAGAAACATCAGGACAAAGGCTTCCGGTCCTTTCAGAGACTATGATATGCTTCGAAGTTGAGACAATCAACAAATAATTCAAGTTGATAGGTAGGCTCCAGGTATGGGAACTGCCTCCCTGGCGTGGGTAGTATTGGTACTCAGTACGGAGAACAAGATCGACGGAAAACAGATAATGTAAAACTAAAACAAAAATGTCATCTTGGATAGCAACCAATATCTAGATAGAGCTTGAATTAGTGCGTAACAGCTTTTGTAAACAATAACTTCTCCTGATGATTTCTAGGAATTTGAGGCATGCTCTCGCAAATCAATATAACCATCAGGAAGGGGAAGTTGATTTGCGTCGGCGAGCCTACTGTGTTGCCAGACTTATAACGAATATACGTTATATACGAGTACACCGAATACAACGTATGACTCGTCTAATTTTGCATAGCATTTGCAATGTAAAATTAGACGAACTATACGTTGTATTCGGGGTACTCGTATACAACGTATATTCTTTATAATTCAGGTAACACTGTAGACTTTCTAGAAATCATCGAGAGAAGTAATTGTTTACAAAAGCTGTTACGCACTATTTTCAGCTCTGTCTAGATTACCGTCAACTTTCGCTCGTTGGGCTAAACCTGCAGCTCACTTAGTGAAAGGCTTTCGTTAGTTGGGCTGAGCTGTCAAGCTGAAAATTTGTTGAGGGATACAGCGATTGTTTATTATCATCACTATTCTTTAGCAACTATCCAAATTATACATACATGAGCCCCTCGAAAAGGAAACAGCTGTGCCAGAAATGACGTTTGACTTCGATTTAGGTGAGCTATAACTCAACTAACGGGAGCTCAACAAAAACGTAGCCCACTTAAACATAGCCCAACGAGCGAAATTTGACTCAATGTGCAAAGTTTCCTTCAAATCGGAGAGAGTCATGTCCAATCGATTTACTATTTGGCGTGGAAAGGGTACACGACGTTAGGCATTCGGTCGTTAGGCATACGGACGTTAGGCATAATGTACGATAGGCATAATGGACGTTGGCCATAAGAAACGTTAGGCATAATCTACCCGATGAATTCAAGAAAGATGATGATTGGGACCGTCTATGGATTGCTGACTTCGGTGACAATAATGTAAGAGGCTTAATTTTTGGAACTCATTGAAACTTGCGACGTCTTGGACAGGAAAAGTATTGGGTTACAGATGGTACGTTTGCCACAGTTCCTTGTTTGTTTCGGCAACTCGTCACTGTTCATGGAAGTATCGCTCCCTCACATCAGCAGACGGTTTCGCTAGTTTTCATTCTGATGACAACAAAAACAGAATCGTGGTATCGAAAAGTATGGCAGGAAATCCTGGAAGCAGCAGTTATGTTTTTTTTTTGTTGTTTAATAAAAAAAACCACAGAATTCACCATTCTTCATTTCATTACCTGTTCTTTGGCATCATATTTTATTCAACCTTAGCTGTTTTTTGTTATTGAATGAAAAATCACAGCATTCAACAGCTTTTCTTTGAGGAAAACCTTTTCTTCTTTGACAATTGCAATATGTGTGTAAGAATATATTACAGCAAATGTGTGATTTTTTAAATTCTAGATGCAATTAAATTCAAGATATAGTTCAAAACTATGCTGAGTTTTCATTGCCAGATTACTTAACCGCTATCGCTACTAATCTTGGATCTAAGTAAATATGTAGCTACGTCACTTATGATATGATAAATATTGGATTCCAAACTGTGCTTATTAAATAAACTTTGTTTCTTCAACTTGTATCATTTTTTTTTATTCAACGCTTAGCCTAACTTAACCATTGTTTACTATGCTCGAAACAGGTTTCTAGAGTTGCATATCAGCAAAATATTTTATGCCTAACGTCCATTATGCCTAACGTCCGTATGCCTAACGTATTTATGCTTAATGGGGTACACTCAGCCCACCGACTGACAAAATTTGACTGTATGTGCAAAGTTTCTTTCAAATCGGAGAGAGTCATGTCCAAACGATTTGCTATTTGGCGTGGAAATGCTCTGCGAACACAATTGCATTCCATCGATGCATTGAGCTCTTCGATGAACGACAGGCACAATGCACCCCGTGTGAAGTGCTTGCTTGCACTACTCTAGACGGTCCTGTGAGATAAAGGAATAAAAAGGAGCACTACTTCGGCCTAATCGCCTGTTTTGGGCCTATCTAGCACAAAACATCAAATATATCTTTGATTTCGGCGTGAACCTGTCAAACAAACATTTAGTATGATGCTTCTATTCAATAGCTGCAAGTGTTGAAGAACGCAAAATATGGTCTCGAAAACGAAAGGCGCACTTTAAGTGTACAAAAGGCGCACGCGAATTCACTTTTCTTTCCGTTCGATAGGTCAAAGAGAATCCCAATGGCGTTTCAATGGCTAATAGGCCCAAGGAAACCTGTAGGCTAAGTTGAGCCGCCAGAAGCAGTTTAGCATTTTCATCAATAAACAAATATTTCGCGACCCTTTATCAGAACTAACGGTACATATGGAAAGGTCAATAAATTTGGAAGCCATCTGTAATAATAACATTAAGTTTGGTGCTAAACTAGATTAAAAAAAGACTAAGTGCGGGTTGTGCTTAATAGGCCGAGAATGGGGTAGTTAACCCTACAGCAAGAGTGCGACAATCAAGTTTGCACAATAAAAAGGATCCCCCATCCCACTTACAAGGCGCCTAACCGGACTTCATTGTACATTGTTATTTTGATGATGTTGCTCTGTTATTGAAGAACATCAAGTTCCAACCGACCACCCTATCCCAAGAGCCAGTGCTGCTACGAAAAGCACAATACAGCCATGATGTACATGAATCCGGAAAAACAACGACGAGGACCATGGAAAGCGATGTTGTGCTTTAGAATACAATGCCAGAGCGTTTACTCTTCATTTTTTCAAATACCACACCCCGCTCCTTGTGCAGTGCATTTGCTACACAGACGGATTCATTTTGGGAGGGAATTTTCACTGCTAGGAGAAACATTAGCCAACGATTCAATGGCAATTAAGAACCATAATAGGCAAGAATAAGCATTGATTACAAAATGAATGATGCTCGTTGCATGATTGGGGAAAGTTGAAAATTAGTTCCCCTTCAGTGGGTGTAGGGAAAGTAGGAATCTTCAATGACACTGACTAGAAGATTTTTTATGCTTTTTAAATATTTTTCTGCGATTTCCGTTTATTGTCAAACGTTATTTCAGCACCCGTGATGGTGGGTTAACTACTTCCCGATAAAATAAAATGCTTACAATTGGAGCCCCCATCCATTCCTACAGATGCGGTTCCGGATTGTTCATGTTAGTGTCATCCGTCAGCTGAGGTGACATGTCATTGGTAGGGCGATTTTCAGCTTCCGCCAATTTGAGCAGTCCAGAAATCATCCCACGACCACGTCCCTTGTAACGACCTCTACCTCCAAATGTTCCATTGTCCGCTGCACAAATGACCTGGTTGAATGATAGCACATTAATAGTAAAATGCATGAAATCAGACAACCACTCGCACGGTCGATTAAACCAACTCAAACCTGAGTTTCGTTCACGCAAATTCACAAAAACGATTAGCCAGGAACAACTTTTCAAATGTAAGGTTTCACTCAGTCTATTAGTATACTCCTAGACGGAGTAAAATTTACGTCGATTTTCGTTTCGTTTTCGAATAGCGTAAACAATGTTACGCAGTCTATGAGTGACCTACGTTTTTGCGATTTTGAGTGAAAAACCACTCAGTTTTGAGTTGACCTCATGACCGTGCGGAGAACCTACAAAAGTGCTGTTAACGGCAGTGCAGTTTTGTAGATGACCCACTGTGGTCAGTACGAATGAGACTGCCAGGAGTAGCAGCACCAACGAAACTTTACTTCCGGAGTTCATGTTTCCCGAAAACTGCAGCGGTGTGGGCAAAAGAGATGCTTCCTTTCTAAATACAGGCAGGAGAAAAACAGACAAAATTAAACCACTTCCAGCAGTGGTGCACCTGTTGTGTGTGTGCGATAAAGCGACCTTTATTACTGCTACTGCTAGTCCAATAGTGCTGCTACGACCAGGTTTGTATCCTTGTCGTTCGTACTGATCTTGGTGACACAGATAAACACTCAAATATTTAACCCAAGCTGTGCGGAAAACCGTAGTTTATATAGTGAGCGTAAGCGTTCCGGAAACCACCGCTGCCTCAGAGAAGGGGAAAATAGACGGTGAACCAAAATACGCAAAGTACACAAGTTTAAACGAAGCATTGTTTAGCGGAGGGGGTTTTTCAGCATTAGTGAGATGAATTGTCCATTGAAAATCAAATAGCATTTTTAATAGCTTAAAATGTGTTATTTTAATGTGATTACGACTTAACTATGCGGAACAGGGCAATGGAACCTCCGTCGGAATTTAGTTTAGTTGGAATTGCTACATAGGGGAAGCAGGGTAAAAACTAGTAGTCACTGTTATGCATGGAAAAGATGAGCACTGTAAGAAATTGAAATCCAAACACCTAGTTCACCAACCCGAGTACTTTTGAAAGATATATATTATGGTTAAACTAGGGGAAATGGCTCTAATTTTGGCATATGGATCTAAGATTGGGTTCATCGCTAAAAATCTGCTATTTATCAATTTTATCTAGATGAACGCTTCATTAGGACGGTACTAATGGATATTTTTGGTCGCTATTGAAAATTTAGTCGATTACTGAATTTATGTATGGGCCCAAATTAGTGACAATGCATCCATTTCCCCTATCTATTCAAAATCTACATAAATTTTATGGTGATCCTATACAGTGGCCTCAGACTTCAGACCTCCCTTCCCTATAATCTTGAGGCAAATATAAAATTGTATAAATCTAGATAGAGCTAGAGTTTGGTTTGCATGTGCGTTAGACTGGCCCACATTTATATGGGGGAAATTTTTTATCATTTTTTGATGTAGGACTATGTCTTTGATTTCTATATGGGGGTACACTTTGTAAACACCGAAATAGAACATGTAACAAATTAAGAAAGATTTTGAACGTTAATAACTAAATCGATCAGAAATATGGCTACACATCGATAACAATGCTGGGGCCTCCCTTAGCTCAGTCGGTAAAGGCGCAGCTACAAAACAAGACCATGCTGGAGGTGGCTGGGTTCAATTCCCGGTCCGGTCTAGTAATTTTTCGGGTTGGAAAATTTCTCGACTTCCCTGGGCATAGAAGCATGATTGGACTTGCCACATAATTATGCTAATGCAAAAATGGTACAGGCATGGAAAGCTCTCAATTAACAACTGTGGAAGTGCATCTAGAACACTAAGTTGAGAGCACGCAATAAGCTAATATGCGATATGCAATAAGCTTGAAATGCGAAGATGAAGAAGAAGATCGATAACAATGCTTCCAAATGTTGATTTTCAACAATAAACTGTTGAAAAACTGGTAAATGTCCAGCATTGTCCAAAAGCGTCGAATTAACTAACGAATCCATCAATTACCTGCACGCATATGCTGCTTCCCCAGCACAGCCGTCAGAGAGTAGTAAGTAGACGAAACAAGTTGAAGTGACATTCGCCTCCGATCCTCGGGCGCGTGCGAATAGGGAGGATGGAATTGCGTAATATTTTGCACACTCATCGCCATACTCAGAACCACACGCTTCCAACGACCACACCACTGTGTGGTGGTGTTCGGTCGTCGAAATTAGTAGCAGCAGTAGCAGTGCTTTCGGCGTGTGGCGTTGCAAATTGTTCTCCAGTAACAAAGAAAGACTGCCTGCAAGCAGCGAGCTGCAGATCCCACATAAGCAACCATCAAAGGAGGAAGAAGCTGCACCGCTATGCTATGGATCGGAATCAGTAGCTCTTCGTGAGTCGCTGCGGGTCGGTCATCTATGCCAAGCGTATCACCCTCGCTCCAAACGACAGCCTCATCCGTGTTGAACACCCAGCTCAGAATTACTCAACCATCACTACAAAACGGTCCTTTTCAGAGCCACCAAAAATTTGTTAAAGAGTATTATTTGGACATTGGTCAAGGTCATCAGTTCCCGCAAGCAGCTAACCTCAACCTGTCTATAGAAAGTGTGGAATTGTAGGCCTGAATATATTGGTGCAATTAGTTTTTCCTCGGCTTTCATTCCGCACGATTCGTTTCTTTCGTTTAATCAATCACCCTTGTAGTGACGTCGAAAAGATTGTTTAAGTCGGTGCTTACATATGAAATTTAATGTTGATTATAGAATTTTTTGTATGTTATCAAAATTTATGAATGGTCTGCCACTAAATGTTGAGATAATTTACTGATTATTGAATTATCACACTGTATACCATGAAAAAGCAGCCTGTGTGTGAGTTTTTCCCTGTTTTCAAGTAAGAAGTTATCCTAAAAAACGAATCGCCAGCTGGTATTTCCCAGCGACTTTAAAAATAAATAAAATCAAACAAAATCATCATGCAGAACTGGTTAGGATTTGTTTTACTTAATATTTCACAAAATTGCTTTCGAGTATTAAGACATCATCTCCCGCAAAGTTTACATTTTTCCCTCTACCAACACATACACCAGGGCTAGATAGATCTCCACAGGATCTATAGAATCCACGCAATTGATGATTTTGTCAAGCTTCTGCATTCATGTTCCATCAGATGTCACTGCTGTTGTTTGCGGTGACATCTATCGGAAACTAGACATAATCTGTTTTCTTATAATTTTTCACAGAGGACACTGCAGTGCAAAAAATGTCTGATACCTCTATATATATATATATAGATTATTATTCGAAGTCCCTCCTTTTTTACACATTGTGCACACAAAATAGCTCACCCCTCACAGCATTTCCCGCCAAATGTTATGTATGGGGCGGGGCGTAAAGTATCTTTTGCGCAGAATATGTAAAAAATGGGACTTCAAATGTTAAAACAAATGCATATACCAGTACCAGACATGTTTTGTAGTGTTAGGTACTCTATTTTGTAATCTGTGAAAGGGAAATCACATATCGAGTGTCAACAAAATACATGGCATGTTGAGAGATTGAGGTCTTGAGAGCAAATTTTCTCTCTCAAATTTGATTTTTTTGGCTCTCTGGGAGCTGGTAGTAAGTTAGGTAAAACTGTAAGGGGAAAAATCATTTTTTTTAATTGTAGCTTGTTTAGCTATAATTTCCGGGAAAAAACTGAACTACAAAGTCCCTGATTATTTTTTTTAGGATGTTGTTCACTTTTTTGACCTGAATATGCAGCGAAATCGAATTATTCCCACTTCTCTCAATTTCTATATGGGGATTTTTATCACTTCCTACCAGCGGAACAGTGCCATCTCTGTGGAAAATGGTCGAACAAAATGATTAATTTCAAAAAAACCAAAATGCACAGCATTACGAAAAGAGGTCAGGTTTCGACCAATAGCAGATAGATTTTAATTCTAAACAAGCCAAACGCTTGGAAATTTATCTAACAATCTGCTAAAATGAACACTTATTTATTTTTAAATAGGTCACTATTGAAAAATACCAAATGTCCAACTGTTGCAATGGTGATCAAAATTATCACCGAATGTCTGAAAACAGCGCATTCCCTAACACAGACTTAAAAATCGAATTCGATGCGGTCCCACTGAACGGTGCTCATTCAATCACCGTAAGTGGTGGTGTCCAGTCCAGCAGCAGCAGCAGCAGGAGTGCTTTCAACAACAAAAACGAAAGGCTGCCTGCAAGCAGCGAGCTGCAGAGCTCATATGAGCAACCATAGAGAAGGAGGAAGAAGTCCCACCGCTAGGCTAGGATCGGAATCAGTAGCTCGTCGTGCTCAGCTCACCATTACTCAACCATCACTGCAAAACTGTCCTTTTCAGGACCACCATAAATTTGTTAAGAGTATTATTTGGACATTTGTCAAGGTCATCAGCTAGCTATCAAGGCTCAACCTGGCCTCTATAGAAGGTGTGGAATTTTAGGCCCGAATGTATTGGTGAGATTAATCATCGTCCGACCATTTTCCAGAACACGCTGGTAGGAAGTGTTAAAAATCCATATAGAATTTGAGAGAAGTGGGAATAATTCGCTTCGGGTGTATATTTAGTCCCCAGAAAGCCAATAAAATTAAATTTGCGAGAAAATTAGCTCTCACGATTTCAATCTCTCGAAGTCCCTCCTTTTTTACATATTCACATTCATATAATTCGGGAGGAAATCCTGTGAAGGGTGAATTGAATTCACTTTAATACCAAAATGCACAAAACTTAAAAATTCATACATAACAAAAAATTCAAAATACACTTTAAGTCGGGTGGATGAATCAAAAATACTCAAGCTGACAGTCCCTTGGATTCTCTTCATCAATTTTCTCTTTGAAATAAATACTACAAATTTGATACGCTTACAAATAAAAAACGGAAAGAGTTAAGATAATTGATGATTGATCAATTAAAAGAACTAAATGTTCACATTTGTCCGTCCACTAGCGGTCCTACGTCAAGTTTC